TCGGAAACCCTAAGCCCTAAACCCTAAATCCATTTTTGCAACACTATCTATGGAATGAGGAAAGGCAAATCATCCGAAACCCTAAACCTTAGGTGGACCCCCCACCCAGTAATAGTGACTATAGGGGTTAATAGGGATTATATTAGGGTCCTCTTATATTCCTATTATACCACTATTACAAGGTGGGGGGTCCTCCTAACCTAAACCCCTAAACCCTCGAGGAGCTGACAGCCTGCGCGTGCCCGCTGTTTAACATGCATGCGGCTGGGGAGGGCAACTTCACTGTGGAGGCTGGGCTTTGAGAACAGAACATGACATGAAATGAAAGCTGGGATGAATTATATGGTGGTTTATAGGACTTATGGGTTGAGGTATGCTGTGGTCAGGATGAGGGTTTAGAGCAAAAGGTTGAGGGCTTTCAATTGCCCACGAACAGCAGGCTTATAATGCTTGAGCCAGATGCGGCAACCTCAAGTACTCTGGGATGTGTGCGTATGTTCGGGTAGCATTTAGCTTGGGGTTGCGGGCACACTTACTGGGATGCGGTGGCAGGGATGAGGATGCAGAAGGATCCGGATGTGGACTTACTTCTGACAATTTTGGAACCCATGTGTTGCCAACCCAAATCCCCAACAAACATCCCTACATTCTGAACAGGTGAAAGCGTTTGATCAACACTGAAAGGATAAGCCTGAGGCATTTGGGTTAGCAACCCGCTCGACCTCCAGCTATCCAAATGGGTGGCTTCAAGGGGCTTTAGGTCTTCAGGGTTTGGGTTTAGGTTGCAGAGTTCGTAGCCATGTAACCGGCATGCAGGAACAAGTTGGGAGAGAAGGTGCCCCATTTTGGATCTGAAGCTTCAGCCTTTGGGGTACGGGTGGGACCTGCCTTCCTTCGCAGCAAAATGGAGAGAGAAAGACTATCCGGTAAAAGACAAAACACACGAGGTGACGTCGCTCCTTTCCCGTAATGTCAGACACCCCCCCACCCACCCAGGCCTATACTGTCAAAAATGTTTCCATCATATCTATCTATCTATAAGTCTATCTATATATATCTCTCTCTCTCTCTCTCTGTGTCTCTCTCTCTCTCTCTCTCAAGAGAGAGGGAGACATACACATACTATACATATATGTCTAATGTGCGTGGTAGGCAGCAGTTCGTATCAGCGGGTGCGAACTATTGTACATCATACTTTGCTGCTTCAAAGTCCCAGCGTGATTTCTCAAGCAACTGCAATCCCCGACAATTTTGACGCACCAATCCCTGTAGTCGCTATAAGGACCCCCAGGAAGCCATCATATTCCAATGCCTGGAAGTTGGGGCCCCTCGACCCCAGCCCTGAACCTAAAGCTTGCCTGGACTTCCCAAATACTCAAATAAAGTGATTTGAGTGTCTTTCGGAGGTCTGGGCAAAACCCCCAGAACCCAAAGGCAGATCGCACGAAGCTTGCTGTGGTGCTCCATGCCGCCGTGGTGCGGAAGTTGAGGTTGCTTCGATCGTGCGTGCGAATGGATTTTGGGGGATTGCGCTTGGGGCTTAGGGTCTAAGGTTTAAGGTTAGTTTATGGTTGTTATTCCTGTTGTATGAGGTTTGCATGTGGTGTTCTGAGGGGCTTTTTGAAGTTCTAATTTGCAGGATTTTCCATATGACGATATATAATGGTTCTTGGGCAGAAAGCCGTACAGGTCACTGCTGAAGGCGCAGGCGCTCGTGGAATACCGCGTGCTTCTAAACAGGCAGGGGGCAGAATTCCATCCAAGCATTTTGGACTTATCGTTTCGGACTTAGGGGCCAGAGTACCGGCAAAGATGTTGTTTTCAAATTCCTCGCATGAAGCCTACTCCAAGCCCTATGATACCACAAACTTTGAACGCTGTTCCCACCTCATGGTTTCATGGCAGGAATGTTTTTGGTAGCTGGGTTTTTCTCAAAATTATGAATCGCCGCATCTACGTGCGAGGCAGGTAGGTAGCCTAGCCTGGCCTAGCCCCACTATACTCCTTCTACTCTCCGCATAGACCCCTGTAGTCCGTGGCAATTGACCCATGAGATTCAGAACCCTCATGGTCATACGTTTTCTCCAGGCAGAAGGCGCTCCTCAGAGGATTTTCATCTGCACCTGCACCTGTGCATCTTGAATTGATCTGGAGAATTCAGGTTTTGAAGGAAGTACGTAGGGCATGGTGTTTAGGTTGTAGGCCCTTGGGGTATGGGGTTGGCTGGGACAAGGGTCTGGGTATTCTCTGGATGGGGGCACCCTGGCAATCACTGCAAAGTGGAGGGTTATGAGAGGGTTGTAGCTAGAGTCCTAGGGACTCTCAGGACCCCC